AATACATGCCACTCTCCACCTCACCTAGTGTAGTGTTGAGGAACAAATTCAAGTAGGGTTGCTGTGCCATTTTTACTCAGCCATGTTTCTGACAGAAACATAAAATCAAGCTTATGCTCTTTAGTAAGGACTTAAATCAGAAGTGTTTTGTTACTTACCTTACATTGAGTAAAGCAAGGATTAATTTTCTGCTACTACATAATGTATTTGGGGGGTCTGGTCTTTTTTGGTGGTACATGAATTATTGGAGTTTTGACTGTGGATGTTTTTCTTTAATTTTCTAATTGCACAGGGTTTGATGATTCTAATGAGGTTTTGGAACAAATGTTCTGACTTTTTTTTTTTGATCAAGCTCTTTTTATTAAAGATTTCACAATATACAAAATACAAACAGTCCCATACGCCCATACCCCCAAACCCACCCATCCCACCCACCCTCCAGACCTACATCAATAGGACAAAGCTGTATAAATTCCAACATTATATAAAAACTGAGGAATGTAACCTAAAATAAATACATATTATGGAGTTAGATTTTCGGCTTCTGTTTATCCACATATGTCAGGAAGGGCTGCCAAATGCTATAAAAATCTCTGTACAGATCCTTGAAGAGAGTATCTTATCTTCTATAGCTTGAGATATTGCATAACCTCTTTGATCCACTGAGAATAATTAGGGGGAAGAGGTTCCTTCCACCTAAGCAGTATTAATTGCCTGGTCAGCTGTATCTGACAACCTGATAACTGTCTCAGTATTGTGGTAATTGTTTGTTCTGTCATTAATGACCAGTTTAGGCATCTATCTCCCTTCATAGCTAGCAGGAGGTTTAGTATTACGACAGCTCAGAAAGAGGGGAATGGTAGAAATTGAGAAGGCATTGTCTATATCATAAAAAGCACTTACCTGTCTTCTGTTGATACTACTTACTCATTTGTTGTTTATTGCTGCTATGTTCAGTCACACCTGAGGTAGTACCTTCTCCATGTTCTCGGACAGGATGATAGACCCACGGCGGCTTGGGTGTAATCTGACCCTGTGGTAGAAGGCCAGTTGCTCACAGAAAGCCATCCAGTTGCTCATATAGCCAACGCCATTGTTCTCACACCAGCCTTGGGGCCAACAGTGAAGCACGTGAAGTCTGCTGAAAACCTCACTTCCTCTCCTGTAGGTGAGTTCCTGAGATGATCATTCTTGCCTCGGCCCTCTTCTTAACAGTGTCTAGAAGTAATCCAATATGCTCACTGAGGACTTTGCTCAGAGCCGTGGAAGCCTGCTTGGAAATATCCAAGACCCGGGCACCTGGAAAATAAGATAGAGCTGGAATACCTCTAGAGCCAGCTACTTTCAGATGTCTGATGATAGAATCTTATCAGAACACTATCCTAAATTGTCCGAGGTGCTGTAGGAGGTGGAGAGCTGAGGGCTTTGAACCAGTTACTGGAGGTGAAGTCCAGTGGAGGAGGAGTTTGTGAAGACTTCTTTTTCCCTGGCCATGCTGGCATTTCAGAGGGCAAGCCCCACTCTAGTGTGGGTGTGAGGTTGGGGAAAACCAGCGTTTAGCCATGGATGTAGTGCTCCGTCCGGAGGAATAGAAGTCACCATCAAACTTAAAACTGAAACTGCCACATATAACGTACCCTGGGCTGCTTCCAAATGCATTTTTTTCACTTGTCGAGCATAGTCTACCACTCCAGGAGAGCACTGATCTGCTGATCCAGCTGTTGCAGCTCCCTTCTCTGTGTCTAGAGCTAATGTTCTGCGGAGGCTGCCATTTTCTCAGCATCCACAGAGAAAAGTAAAGGTCAGTTTAGAAACTAGAAAAACATAAATAGAAAAACTGGTAAAAGAAGTGCTGTTATTCATGAATAAGTGTAATAATTAAATATTCAGTGAAAGAAGGTAACTTGAAAGATTAAAAACGATGTAAAAAACAAAACTTTCTTTATTCTGTTGCACACTTCTTTCATCTCAGTTCTCTGAAGATTGCTTTCCATTTTCATCCTATTGTCCTTACCCTCTCTCATTGTTACCTTCAGTTCCCACTGTATACTCTTCAGACTATTCCTATCACCAGCCCTAAGGGCCCTGTTCTTGTTCAGCAGGGCCTTCAGGTTCCCAGTGTCCCAGGATTTGTTGTTTGCTGTGCTCATGTATATTATAATCTGACTGCGTTTACTCACAGATCACAGCATGTTAAATAATCTTGGCATCTTATTCCACTATGTCATGCTCAGAAATGAGTGCTGTCGGTGCTGCACTGTCCTGTCTGTTTACTGTGTCTAATGTCCAGAAATGACTAACAGGGCCTGTGAGTGGTGAGTCTGTAGTCCCCAGTCACGTTGTGGATGACATCACAGGGAAAATTCCAGGCAGTATGATACCACAGTAATTGGCACACATTCTGTGGTCCCCTCTCTTAAAAATAGGGACCACCACCCCAGTCTGCCAGTCCAAGGGTACTGTTCCTGAAGTCCATGGGACATTGCAGAGGCATATCAGTCATGACAGCCCCACAACATCCAGAGCCTTAAGCATTTCTCTGTAAATCTAATCCACCCCCAGTGCCTTGCCGCCAAGGAGCTTGCCAACTACTTCAGTGACCTCCGCCAGAGAAATAGTGACACCCCGAAGCCTTTGGCCTTGATGCCCATGAAGGTTTAGGAATTCCTTAAAGTGCTCCTTCCACTAGCTGATAATCTCCTCATTCGAGGTAAGAGTTTCTCCACCCCTTGAGCAAAACCTTGAGCAAAGCCACTCCGGTCCCTCCTGAGTTGGCGGACAGTTGTCCAGAACTAGGGGTGAGGAGAAAAATCAATGATTCAGAAATGTCAAAAAATGATTTTCTAAATTTTCATTTATAACGTAATGTTGATGGAACGCAAAAGGTGGAACTTGGAAGTGCAGCACCTGTACAGTCTGTGACATGCACATAACAAAAACACAACTGGATGAGCGAGAAATCCGAACGGCACCCTCTGCATTAAAAGCTAGGTTAGGTCAGGAGTCGACAACCCAAATGTTAAGAAGAGCCATTTTGTCCTTTCAACAATAATCAAACCACCTTTGGAGCCACAACTTTTTATGTCCAATGTGTCACAGTATGTGCTAACGTCCTAGTATGGGTTAAAAAATATGAACGAAAACGAAGAATTACTTTGCTCTGCTTTAAGCTTTATCTATGGCCGCTTTCCTCCCATTTCCGCCAGGACACTTTTCCTCAAAAGTAGAACAGTTCTTGTGAAATGTCTGTCAACATTTGACAGTTTTACGAGGCTGAAGTTAGCTTCTTGTTTGAATTTTCCTGTTCCATCTTAAATTCTGACTGAGGGCGAACGTATATGCGGCATATATAACGGAAGAATTCAAAGGAGAAGCTGACTTCATCTTCACAACCTTTTAGTGTTTGACAGTCTCTCGTTGCAGATTTAACATACTAGGAAACCACCTGCGGTGCTTATAAATGCGAAGAAGTCCAGCATCGTTTAAGACCATCTATTGTTAAAACAGTGTTAGAAATATCGGCAGAGGTTTATTTTACTGCAAAAGGAGGATACCTAAAAATCTAATTCTGCTGTGGAGCCACATCAGGGCTGTAAAAGAGCCGTTTCGACCCCTGATCTAGTGTATGGAAGCACTTTGGCTTCTATGGAGGGGAAAAGGGACCTGGACAAGGGCCACACTATGTACAAATTGTGTCACACTAAACTAAAATATTTTGGTAATGACAAACATGAGAAACCATATTAAATGTTTCCATCCACTTTCTGTCTGGTTGTACTTGCTGCCAACCAGAGGACCATTGAGCAAGCGATGTCAAAGCTTTCACCCAACTCGGAAAGGGCGAAGCAGATTACAAACTCTGTTGCAACTTTTATTGCCAAGGATTTGCATCTGTACTCAGTCGATGAGAGCCAGGTCTTTTGCACTATGTTGCCCACTTTGGAGCCGAGATACTGACACAGCGACCCCCCACTCTCTACAACGAGACCAAATTTCACCGTAACAGCGCATTTTATCATAGATGAGTGGCAGCCTGCGTCTCAAACAAGAGCAGTAAATGAGAGCCTTCCAGTTCACTTGCCACATCACTTCCATTTGATTTATTAATAAAAGATATTGGACATAAATTCATTACGGATCATTACAAATACTTAGCTTTAAAAATACCAAGTTCTCACACAGTGAGAAAAATAGAAGTCTTGTATAGAAAAAAAAGATGCATCAAAATGCATCGATAATCGTTTTATAATTGCATCGCAGCCCTCTGAATCGTAATCGAATCGAATCGCGAGGTGCCTAGAGATTCACACCCCTATCCAGAACCTTCTTGAAGCCAACCGAAAGTCTTGTTTCATGGCCTCTCCCATGTTCTAGATTTTGCTGCTGCCTTTTTTGCCCATCCATACCTTATCTCAGAAACACGTTGAGATAACAATAGCAAGCAAATAACATTTGTTTTATTCATTAAAAGTATTTTTTATATATTTATTTAGTTTTTCCACTGCTTCACACTGTTCCGAAATGAAACAGTTTGGTTCTTTGATGCTCAGCAGTTAATGGGACACAGGGAAATGGTGATTCTTAAATTGTCATAAACTCATGTTCATAAATGCTGGTGACTGTACTACAGATGAATGCCAGTAAAAATCTTGCAAGAAGTGTGCAAGGCATTACTCTGAAAGTTGCCTTTTTCCCCTGTAAAAATAAAGGCTGGGTTACAAAAATGCAAAAACGTACATCAATAAAATATGTACTCCATTATTTAATATTAACATCAACACCAACAATGTTGCTATGCTGTTACTAGTGAGGAAAGTATTGCCTCACCTTCCCTCCCTTAAGGTCTTTTAGAAACCATATAAATACATGAACTTTGTGACCATGAGTGCTGCACACTGCTTTAACCTCCTCAGTGAGACATTTAGGCATTTGGGAATTGTCTTAATTGAGGTTGATCTTTGCTTCATTTATGTTTGTGCTTGTTTGAAACATTTGCAGAAATGCAAAGCATTGCAAACAGCAGCTTGAGCAGGGACCCACTGTCATACCCTGGTTTTGTACAAAAAGTGATGTTGGTGCAGATACTGGTGGGGATTTTCCTCTATGTGAACTGCCTGATGATATTCACCTTTTTAAAAAAGCAGGTGTTCAGGGAGGACACTCGCTACATTTTGTTTGCGCAAACTCTGTTTGTTGACTCTGCTTTCATGTTTTTTACAGATATGATGTTGATTGGGAATTATTTCCAGTACCGCATCCACATGATTCCTTGTATTTTCATCTGTTCAGCAATAGCCATTCTTTCAATCTGTTCTCCTCTGACTCTTGTGGCAATGTGTCTGGAGCGCTATGTTGCAATATGCATGCCTTTAAGACATGCTGAGATTTCTACCAGCAGGACAAGATTCTTTGGATTTATTATCATATGGGGTATCAGCTCCATGCCTCCAGTGTTCTTTGTTGTAGCACATATTTCAGTGCTCCCTTCTGGTGCTTTGTTTTCACATGTCATATGTAGCATGGAAATAATGTTACAGGAAGAATGGCAGGCACAGTCTCGTGCTGCCATTTTGCAGCTTCTTTTCCTCTTTATGAGCTTTATCATTGTCTTCACCTACATCAGGATAATGATTGCAGCCAGAACTGCCTCTTTAGAGAAAAAGAAATCAACCAACAAGAGTCTTAGAACCGTGGTCCTTCATGCCTTTCAACTGTTTCTATGTCTAGTTCAGTTTTTAATCCCATATATTGAAATGACATTTTGGAAGGTTGATGTTATGGTGTTTATTAATGTAAGATATTCAAATTTTATTGTTTTTATTATTGCACCTCGTTGTCTTAGTCCATTGATTTATGGAGTGAGAGATGAGAAATTTTCTCTTATTTTAAAATATTATGCATGCTGGGGTTTTGATCATTCCAAATGTCCATTGAAAAGAAAATAAGACTCATTAAATTAATGCTTGTCATTGAATTAATTATATTTTACAATATATCTATTTAGTTAATGAAAATGCTAACTCTTCACTGTAATTATGAGTAACCTTTTTGTTAAGTTAATTCTGCCTGATTTAATTTTATTGTCTAGGCTGGCTAAATGATTTTTTTAAATTATTTTTTTAATGCCTTTCAGTACATTATAATGGAATAATGTACATATGAGCAGATCTTGTAAAGTCCTTTTTTAGTTAATACATAACATTTTTTTTTTGTTTGCAACCAGATGTAACTTAAATCTACTGTTGCAGTAGAATACTTATAAATGAATGATAAAGTTTTGTGATTTTGTTTCTTTTTATTGCTTGTCGACACTTTAGGGTGCTGCTGCTGCATAAACTAAAACAAATCCAATTAAACATTGCTCCACCTGTTATCCCCTTTTGTACTATAATACTTTATACTAACACTTTGCTATCCGGTGTCGGCCAGAGGAGGATGGGTTCCCCTTCTGAGTCTTGGTTTCTCTCAAGGTTTCTTCCTCCTGCTGTTAGGGAGTTTTTCCTTGCCACTGTCGCCACTAGCTTGCTCATGGGGGCTTGGACCTGGATTTTCCTGTAAAGCTGCTTTGTGACAACACCTGTTGAAAAAAGCGCTATATAAATAAACTTTGCTTGAAACTTTGCTTGTCGTAGTAGTAGTAATAATAATATTATTAATAATAATTTAATTACATAGAGGATTATTTTAAACAGGTAGTAAAAGAAAATAAAATTGGATAAATAAGAGATAAATAATATAAGTAAACTATTATTACAATAATACAGAATCTTATTACTTAAGATTATTACAGTAATCAATTTTGTGTGAAAGAAGTTTCTCTGCATCTCTTTGGAATGGTAGTAGTAATGCTTGAGGAAAAAGCAGGGGCATTGATTGTGGTTGGCCCAAAACGTCTTGCCAGATCAATCTTTTTTCTGAAAGTCTTCCACCATGCCTTTTCCAGGACTCTGTAGGAACTATAATGAAGTCTGTTATTAGTTTGATGGCTGGCACCAGTTATGTCCAATTTTTTTTAAACATGATCTAGAATCATTCAGATATGTTTCCTCCAGGATATTCTTAGACATAGATCATGCAAGGATTCTTGTTTTTTGTTGCCAATTTTTCTGTCAATGGTCATGTGGTTCATGCCTATACCTGTTTCAGATCTTTCAGCCATTAGAGATAGAACAGTATTTAAAGTATTTTAAATGCACTGTCATGCATGTGTTTCAGGACTTCCGTTGGACCCTGGACAATACATCAGAGAGCTGATCCCAGCACTTTGCCGGGTCCTTCCCAGTGACAAGTGTGCTTATATTTACATTGATGGCTGTACACCCGCTCTTGTAGGATGAAAGGTCATAAAAATGGCAATCATAAGCCCTTTCTTGCTGTGCACTGGCCGCCCTCTGGTTCTGGTGGATAAATGGGTGGGCCACAAAGCCTTTTAATGCATCTTGACATGATGGGGGCCCCCAGAGATTTCTGGCTTTAGTGGCTGCCTTCACTAAAGCTCAATCCCAGACAGCACACTTGCCGTTCTGAAGTCCATAATTGCATGTGCTCAGGAGTCTTTAGGGTGTGGGGCTGCTTATTTTGATGATCAAAGGTTGCTCCCCCTCTGTGCATTCTTCTGCAAGCGTTAATGCAGACTCAGCAGTGGCTTATATTCTTGAGATATTAACCTTTTTATAGAGCTACATTATACTTATAATCTGAATTGAGCCACTGTAGATAAAGGTCATTCCATACCAACTCAACTAGCCCTCCTAGTTCATGTTAGTGATTTTCTTGAAAAAAATCACTTGAAAACTTCTGTAACATTCATGGGACTTTGCAAAATCTTACAGCTCTACTCCAGCTTTTTTATTATTTATGAATGTGTTTTTCATGAAGTTTGGCCCTTTTTCTCATGTTTGATTCTTTGACCACTTTAAGCCTCACCAATTACTTTTTGCTGAAATAGGCTGCAATTGGTATCGGACATCCAAGAAACCCTAAGGGTAATTTGCATGTATTCATGTAAATAGTTGTTGCTAAATGTTTAACAGTAATCAAATTATTCAAATAAATATTTTTACCCAAACTAAATCTTAATATCTCCACCATTTTTTACTTTCTTGCAACCAATTGTTTAATTTATAGTATTAATATATATCTGTCACATCTGGGAGTTATTTGCTCCTGCATAACAGTGCCAGAGACCTTGCTGAATATAGCTTCAGAGCTGAAAACTCACTTTTTAAGATATTTTCACTGTACATTTTCCCAAAAAGGCTTATGTGAATTTGCTTGGAATTTCTAGGTATCATCAATAGGTATTAGATACCTATTGATGACACCTGTAGATGACATCATCTAGTATGCAGCAAGTCAAGCCATTACAAGCTATAACTTGTAAATTTCCTGAACCCAATGAAATACAGGCTCAATAGGTATCACAGAGAGAAAACATTGAAGTCAACATAGTACAAATACCTACCTATGAAATAAAACCACAGAGTATAATATTATAGCCAGTGAAAAGTATAATAAATTACTAAATGCTGAAGGAGTAATATAACATTTTTAATCTTTTTGTATGTCTGTAATGAATGTAAACATCTTCCTTAAAATGTTTCAAGCAAATTCAAATAATTCAATAATGCTTCTTGGGAAAATATACAGTCAGGGAAAATATACAGTCTGACACTATATTTACCAAGTAATTTGATTACTGTGAAACATTCCATGCACCATGACTTACATAAATACATGTTACTAATTATCCTTAGGGTTTCTTGGATATTCGGTACAAATTTTAACCAAATCCAGTGAGAAATAAGCGATTGATGAGACTTAAAGTGCACATATTAAGAAACGCACAAATAATGAAAAGGGCCAAATTGAAAAAATTCATGAGTACTTGGATTAGAGCTACAGGATTTTGCAAAGTCCTGTGAATGTGGTAGAAGATTTCTCAAGAAAATTCATGACATAAACTGAGAAGTCTAGGTGAGTTGGTATGGAATGACCCATAAGCAAATTAGTTCACTTAAAAAATTAGTACACCCATTTACACAGACTCCCCGAAAAAAAGGCAAAACCTCTCTTCCACAAGATTTTTGGCGGTGCTTCAGGCCATTTGATAAAGTAATTCTTGGCTAGAGACCATGCCTTGTGTCACTGTGTGGGTAGGGGCCTGGAATGTCCACACACTGCAAAAAATAGTAGATAAAATGTAAGGAAATGATTTTGAGAAAATTACTTAATATTAGTGAGACTATCCATGCAGCAAGATAATTTTACTTGACAAGACCTATTAAAATATGTTAGTTCCAGGCTGAAAATAAGTCAGCTCTGATAAGTGTTCAAAGGTAGAAAATAGTAATAAATGCTGTTTTTAGATCAGATTACTTAATTGGATTTGCTACAGCACAGTAATAAATGAGGCCAAGGAACAAGAAAGTAAGTCACTAATTTAAGTGGAAATGACTTAATAGTAGTGGATTTTGATTATGCTTTTACTTGAAATAAGTTGGCTCATTATGAAATTGGTTAGGCCTAACCCATATTTAAAACTAGTGATCTCATACATCTTAAAACCGAACATGTTTTTGCTGAAATCACAACCAGGACTGCAAGTGAAATTTCAATACTTATTGACAAATCAACAGAGATAAAGATAGAGATTAATAAACACAGATGTCTCTGTTCATTTTTAGACAAATGAACAGAGATGGAGGCAAATGAACTGAGAGAGAGAGATGACATTGGAGCACTGAAAAATGAGAAAAGGTTAAGCTGTTCGAACATCAATGTCACGCCTTCCGTAGCAGAGACTGACAATTCTCACTTTGTTTAGCACTCCAACTACCAGAATCCACTGGGAGGTCACATGAACACGAACTCTCAGCAATCCACCTATGAACATTCTTGCTTGCCTGATTATTGATTTCTGACACTTGTTGTGTGGACTATGTATGTCTGTTTGCATCAGTTGTATCTTTGCGAAGTATTGTATCAGTTTCTGTGCATTACTGAGCTTTTTTTTTTTGTATGTTGACTTTGTGGTTTGTGTTTCCACTTGTGCTCTTGTTTACGAATTTAGCCTAATTCCTTTGGACTCTGTTTGCTCTTTTGTGTATCGACCCTTGCCTGTTCTGTACATTGATTTTGGATTCCCCCTTATTAAACACTTTCTACTTTAGTCTGCTCTGCGTGTGTCTGGCTATTCCCCAGCCATCACAATCAGAGAGAAAAAAACTGGGTTAATTTATGGAAAAAGTCCTCCAAACTGCTTTGCCTCATCTTGAAAAAGATGATAATAGTGGCATATTTTAAAATTAGGAACGCATCACCAGCATGACCAGTGCTGGAAATGCCACTGAAAAAGCACTGATGACTGCTTTAAGAAAGTATCATGTTGCGCAATGTGGTTATTTAAAATAATAAACCTAAGGGGTTCACTAAGGTGTGCTAATAACTTGCTAAACAGGGATGTTGTATAGTAATGTAAGTGGATAATATTTGTAAACAAGAAATTGCAGTTTTGATATCCTTTTATGTATAGAGCACACACCTTTAAAGCATAATTAGAGTTCACAGTAATTCCTCAGAAACCTCAGGGTGAATACCTTAAGGGCATCAAAGAGTTGAGGCAACCAAACAACACACATGATATTACTTTCTGGTTGGCCTCGACAAAGGACATTTAAAACACTGAAATCTTACATTATATACAGTGCTCTGAAACTGCATCATCAGAAAGAAACTTTGCTTCATCCAGCCCCAGCATCAGCACAGTTCAAGATTGTTCCACTGATCTAATTAAAACGAGATGAAATTGCAGTTCTCAGTACACAATATTCTGTCACAGTGCTAGCTGCTGTCATGCTGTATGCAACTAACAAAAACTTGCTTTACGCAGTTTTACTAAACAACTTTTTAACCATTTTCAATGTCAGTTTGTTCAAGTGCTGGC